CTTCTAAAAGGAGCTTGGCCAAGGTGAACACCGACAGGAGGCTGATATTTATGCTCAGTGTTAATACTGATATTTAGGGGCTGGAGAGATGGCTCATTGGTACGGGGCCCGCTGTGTAAGCATGAGGATCTGAGTTCAGTCCCCAGTACCCTTGTGAAAAGCCAGCTGGGGTGGCAAGTGTTTAGAAATCTCAGGCTGGGGAGGGTGGGATAGGCTGTCCCAGAAGCTAGCCTTATCAGTGGGCTCCAGGTCCCAGTGAGGGACCCTGTCTCAAATGATGAGGTGATGGCACCTGAGGCATAAGACCTGAGGTTGATCTCTGGCCTCTACACACATGTGAACACAGGCATGTGCACCGGCACACACACACACATGCATCTGCATTCATAAAATATGCACATTCCCGCACACACACTTGCACACATATGGATAATATTGGTACTTGGATGAACATATTTGACTTACTAATAAGAATGAAGCTGAGATGAAAAACTAAATAAAATCATGTTTTCCAAATTTTAAAGAAAACACACATACACGAAGGGGGAAGGCAGTATTGACCCCTTGTGTTGAAATTCTGCCTGCTCCGCCCATTTTTCCCCTTTTCTGAAAGAGATATTTCTTTTCCAACCTCTCACTGGAAGCTCTCCCATCAAATGCAGCCAGTTTATCCCTATGATCCCACTATTTTTAAAGTACAGAAGGAATCAGAGCTGGGGGGTGGGGGTTCATGGTGGTGATCATTATATACTGTCAAGGGTTTACTAAGTATAGACACTGTTCTAAACACATCCATCACTGACCCATTTAACTATCACAATAACCCTACAAGTTTGATAACGTTATTAGCTCCTTTTAAAGATGAAGACATGAAGGCACAGATAGGGTTAAGTAGCTTGCCAGGGTCATGAAACTCAGTGAATGGAAGCATCAAATTCAAATTCAAGCAGCCTGACTCCTAGAAGGAAGCTCATAGCCACCACCCCTTCACGCTGTCTCTCGGTGTGAAACAAGACTGCACACTGGGACTGAGTCTGTCAGCCAGAGTCCTTCAGGAAGTGCCTCACATCTGAGGGAGAGCCACTTGCTTAACCCCTTTGTAGCACCAGCACTGAAGCAGGCCAGACAGGAATGTCCACACAGCCACTCTTTCCAGATTGTTTTGTTAGTTTGTACAGGCTGGCCTCCATCTCACAGAGATCTACCTGCCTTTACCTCCCAAGTGTTGGGACTAAAGACCTGGGCCATTAAACCCACTGCTGTTTCCAGCTTTGTGTGAGTCCAGTTGGAGTGTCATGCCAATGGTGACCAAAGGCAATGACCTTCAAGTCAGAAAGGAGCCATTTCTGTGTGCCATTAAATGAGTCCGAGATGGACTGAAGACAAAGAAGAACACTAGGCTTTTGGGTGGAAGATGACCCAGAGCACTAGAAACACGTGACCAAACAGATCTGGTGAGAATTTGAGTCTTCACATCTGTGCACCTCTGCCCCCATCACTCTACCTGCTTGAATCTTTTCTTTCTGGCTTTTATCCAGGGGCACCATTTTGCCTTTTTTTCCCACGGTGCTTGGACATGAACCCAGGGCCTCTCACATGCTAGGCAGGTGTTCTACCACTGAGCTGCTGTATATACTGGCCCTCGGGGCACCATTTTGGATCTTGAGCAGCTATATATGATAGGTCTGCCTATCTAGCCAATCATCTTGTCACTTGGTCAGTGGTTTATGGTCTTGCCCTCCTTACTCTAACATACATTTTCCTTAGCACATATTCCCTGAG